TATCAGTGTGAACTCATGCTTAGCTTACAAAAACTCATGTTTGTTTAGATACAAATGATTGCATATAGAAATATTTATAGTTATTTGCATATACAAGTCTCAGTATTACACAGATGTATTTCCTTGTTCTGTCAGCTGAGAGGGTTTAGGAACAAGAATAACCCAGTAGCAAGGAGCATTCCCACTGCCCAGATACTGGTTTCTAATTAATTGTTAATAAGTGCTCCCTGAAGAAAGAGCTGGTTGTAGGGGCAGGAAATATATACGTATATTCAAGATGAGACTGGAACATCTTACAATGCTAGAAAGTAATGAAGCTCTCAAAAACTATAATCCCACAAAGATGAGAGTACGTCAAAGGAATATGGAGCCAACTAGAAGAGCTCCCAATGACCACAGCTGAAATAATTTGAGAAACTAAATTTTTTTAGTTTCTCAAACAAAGTAGCCTTGGATTATGATTCAGAGTATAAAGTATCCATGAGTCCATAGCAATATAAATAAATGTGGGAGCTGAGACAAATCTTCCATGCAGAATTCCAAATAATTGATATATAAACTTTTCCTTCAGAAGGCGGAGCATAACTCCCTACTCATTAAGTGTGTGCTGCACACAATGACTTCCATTAAAAAAGTACAGAATGGAAGGGGGGAAAGAGTAACTTCATGCTGGAGAGAGCTGACAAACACCATCTCAACCTGATGATGAAGCTCAACATCAACAGTTGTAAATCAAGCTGATAGTACGTACCCTTGATACAATGTGATGAAAATGGCAGTTAATTTCTGTGAGTTTCCTTCCAATCTAATCATGAGAAACACTGCAGACAAATTTCAAGTAAGGGACATTCCATAAAATACCTAAACAGCACTTTTTAAAACTGCCAAGATCATTAAAAAACTCTTGGAAACTGTCACAGCCAAGAGGTACGTAAGGAAACATGACCACTTTTAGTGTTGTGTCCTGGATGGGATCCTGCAACTGAAAGGATGTTAGGCAAAAACTAAGAAAATCTGAATAAAGTATGAACTCTAGTTAATATTATCAGTATCAGTTCATTAATTGTAACAAATAGACCATACTAACGTAAGATGTTAATAATAGAGGCTACTGGATGTGGGGTAGATGGGAGCCCTCTGTATTATGCTCATAATTTTTCTGTAAATCTAAAACTGTTTGAAAAGGAAAAGCTGATTTTTTTTTAAGGCAGAAAAATCAAACAGTAGAAAACATGCCTATTTTGACTTTTGCACTGGGGTGAAGAAAAACTAAGAAAAGGAAAGTAAAAATGTTCCGGAAATTTGTTTCATACACTTACTCTAACACTTATTTTTCATTCATCATATTACCTGTGTTGTCTGGAAAACCTCCTGTAAAAAATTTAATGTAAAGTGGTTTGGAGTTGGTCACGCTCCACGACAATTCTCAAAAGCAAATGCAAAATCAAAAGATTCAGCCTCCATCCTGGCCTCAAAGGTGTCTCAGAAATAAAGCTCCCCCTCAAAAGTATCTTATAGTCAAAAATTACAAACTTACTCAAGAATACAAGACAACATGAGTAAGAGCCACCAGTAATAGATCAAAAATATTTTAGGACTGGAATCATAACACGCAAAATAAAATAAAAAATTATTATTAACATGCTTTAAAAGTTGAAACAAAATGATAAAAGAGAAGTTTGAACATTTTGGCAAAGAAATGGAAATTATATAGGATGACAAAGATTACTTGCAAAATAACAAACTTTTTTTTTTCTTTTTTTTTAAGATAACTTTTGTAACAAATTTTTTTTTTTTTAATTTCAAATTCAACAAATACTTTTTGAGTCCTCCCTATGTACTAGGGCATGTATTAAATACTTGCACATATATTATCTATTTTTACTTTCATAACAATGAATACTTCCATTAATAAAGTTGTAAAAACCTTTATACTAAAATATTTTATCATTTTTCTTTTCTCTACAATCTGGATATTTTCTTCTGTTCTGTTTTTCCAATTCACAAGTTATCCCTTCATCTGTGCCAAATCTACCATCATTCAAATATATTGTGTTCTTCTTTTTGGTTATTAGTATTTTTTATTCTAGTTTTAGAATTTCTATTTTCTTTTTATTCTGGCCTTTGTATTTGAGAAGTTATTTTTAGGAACTTTTCTGCTTGCTTCTTCCAGGTATCTTAATCTACCACTCTAGCACAACACTATTCTAAGTTCAAAGATGGAGGTTATCCCCAATTACAGATGATGCCAAGCTGGCTGCGAGTCAGTAGAAGTATTGATTTATTTCCACTTCACCATTCTCCTGAGGGCAAAGTCCTTTGGAGCCCCAGCTTAAACACAAGGGGTATTTATTTATTTATTGAGCCCAGGCTTTGTGTTCTCCCGCTTGGCTTCGCAAGACTATCAAATGGCTGCTCAGTTTTGCAGCTGTTTCTTCCAGAGCATCAAATGCCTTCAAAAGCAGCCTTAGTGCTGGGCTCACTTCTCTAGGTTCATGTCTTTTCCTGGATTTTGACCCAATAATTTCTCACTATCATATTAGCTAGGGACCTAAAAGGTTTCTGCAGAGTTGAGCTCACAGAAGAAGTTGACTCAAGTGAAAAGAGATCATTAAGCAGACAGACCCAACTTTCTTCTCTGGTTACAAGTTTGTTTTTCCTACTAAGGGCCTTTCACTTCAACACTGTCCTAGCCATGACTGGCTCCAGGAAATAAGTATTACATCTTTAAAACTTTAGCCCATGACTATACAAAAATCTTTCTCCTTCAGTTCCCCTTAATATCCAAAAGAGAATGACATTTTAAAAACCACAGTGTCAAAACACTAAGGGTCCATAAAAAGTAAAAGTAGAGAATTTTAAAAATCATGATAGCCATTTTTCAAAGAATTTGGCTTTGTTTTCTGAACCTCAAGTGAGACCTGGTGCTTCTAAATTCCCATCAGGAGGAGAAGCAGCCCTGATAGTGATGATTGACAGGTCTAGCAGGCATGACACAGTGAAAGACCTCATGCTGCCTGGCTAAGGGCTCACATTTATGCATTTCTCTTCAGATGTCTAATGCCTCTTCCAGCCCAGAGCAGACTGGTAACGAGGACACTTTCAAAATCTCTCTCAAATCACAGCCAAACAATTAAGAATCTCTCTCTTTGCATGGCCCTTCACATTTTAATGAAGGACTTTAGGACATTGACCAGGCACCCATATTCTCCAGCTTCCCTGTCCAATATGACAGCCCCAGTCATGTGTGACTATGAAGCACCTACATATGGCCAGAATGAACTGATTAAGCTTTAAGTAAAAATTATGCATCACATTTTAAAGACTTAATATGAAAAAATATGTAAAATATCTCAATAATTTTTATACTGACTAGGTATTAAAATATTTTAAATATATTAGATGAAATAAATATATTATCAAAATTAACTTCATCTGTTTTTTTCTTTTTAAAATTTGACTACTAGAATATTTAAAATTATACAAGTGGCTTGCATTATATTTCCATTGGATAATGCTGTTCTAGGTGATCTTGGTTCTAAATACTGAGTATCTTCCTACCAAATGGTTATTTTCTCAACTAGAATGTGTATTAAGCATCCCCAGAAAATCCCTTTGAAAATTTTTGCAATTAACTAACAATGAAACTAATCATAATTATAACTCTTTGGATCTGAGTTTCTTCACATAAAATGAAGAGGTTAGGTCAGCAGTCCCCAACCTTTTTGGCACCCGGGGATATGGTTTCAGGATACAAGTGTTCCACCTCAGATCATCAGGCATTAGATTCTCATAAGGAGTGTGCAAACTTGATCCCTGGCATGCACAGTTCACAACAGGATTCAGGCTTCTGTAAGACTCGAATATCACCATTGATGTAACAGGGGGCGAAGCTCATTATTTGATTATAATTGTTTAAAAAAAATTTGTAAATACGTTCTATGCATAAGGATATACTTAGTTTTTCAAATTATATATTGTATATATATATACATAATTTGTGAACTTGCTTTTTAAAAAATATAAAAATAAATATTTCCTTGTTGATAGAAACATCAAGTTACGTTATATAATCACACATATGTTAAAGTTGCACATTCATTTACTATATTGCCATTATACATTTTCCCATGAAATGATTTTGTTATGAAGGTTTTTCAATTTTAAAGATTTAGACTATTGCTGTGATTATTATTTATTTCCTGTAATTGCTTTCTTAGCTTTTCTGGCATAGGTCATCCTTATTCTTCATCCATTTATTCCCACTATATTCTCCTTTGACCATTTCTGGTTATATTTTATCTTATCGTCACTTTGCCATGTTCTCCAATTTTCTTTCATCACTAAGTTCTCTTGTCACCTCTCACTAGCCCTGTTTAGAAAGCTTTGCACCTGGCCACACTCGTCCTGTCCTTTAGACTGGGGCCTTCCTGTTCTCATCCCTTTCAAAACAAACTTACCTGAAAATATCTAATAATAAAGACATTTCAGGGTTAATTCAAGTCTTCACAGTTACTTCTTACTAGTAGGGTAGGGGACAGGTATTTGCATTTAAAATCTTAACTCTCATCCTGAAATGAAAACCTTTATTTGTATTCAATTGAATGGGGTGTTCCTATTCTATATTTAAATTTTCCTAAAATCCATTATAGCATGTGTCTTATCACACGTTTTCACAAGCCTTCCCCTGCACCTCTCTTCTGTGTAAAAACATGAAACCTACGGTTTACTAAGGAAGATCCTGGCTGCTAAAGAAACCAACTCAATCTTAATGTTTGGAGAACACTGGATTTGGAGTAAGATGATCTAGGTTCATGTCTCAATGAATCATCCATTTCAAGTGCAAGTAGATGGACAAATCCATGGACATATCCTTCATTCTCTCTAAGCCTGGGTTTTCTAATCTTCTGAAAGGAGCTATTAATAACATCTGACACACTTGCTAAGTGTATAGGGTATTTCTGAACCTCTAAAGTAATAATGAACATGGAGGTACTTACCAATGTTACATAGCCTTAGTGATCTTGGGCATCTGAGATTTCACTAAATTTCATTCCTTGTTCCATTTTCCCTTCCTTGGGTTAGAAAAAATACATTGACCCAGTCAATTCAGACAAGAATAAAAAATATAACTAAGAGTTTTCAGAATAATGAAAAGTTTCAGGTTAAAATGGCATGATCACTCTCTTCATGCAAACATGAGAGCTATGAAACACTTATTAGAACTAATATCCCAGGTTACTCTATTCATCTGTGAAGCTCAATTTGTCAAGAAACAGCATAATGGTTTTATAAAATCCAGAGGGAACCTGGGTGGAGGGATGTGGGTGAGCATTAAATTGATAGAATATTAAAGTAGAAAATGAGCGTTAAAGTGATGAAAGTAGAGTGCAAATAAAAGACTTTAAGAATAAAAAGTAGTCAACTCCATGTATTAGGAAGGACTTCTGTGGCTAAAATAAATCAAACACAAAATTCAAGTGCTTAAAACAGATCACTCAAGGTGTCAGTTGGAAAACATATATTCTTTCCTATCATTTCCTCTATGAAATGAAGAGAGAAATTTGTCATCAATGACTCTTGGAATTTGGTGGGAAAAGGAAGGAATTTGGAATCAGTCCCACTGAGTTTCGTTCCAGCTTCTCCACTTAGAAGCCATTCATTCCCTTCTCCCTGAAGGGAGGCAACACTGTCCCGCTCGCCTGACTGGCAGTTTTCTAAGAACCCATCATAGGTGACGGGAAAGCCAGGTACAAGCTGGAGTCACCACAGAAACCAGGGACTGAGCAGTGAAATCCAGCTCCTCCCAGCTGGAAGACAGTCGGGTGAACGGAAAGGAAATCAGTTCTCTTTACCCCACGTTTCTTTTTCATACCACTTCAAATTTGAGTAAGAGGAAAGAGGGCCAAGGGGATTTAAAGAACCTGGCTGACAACTCCCCAGCGGTCTACAGTACCTTTGTGATCGCCTTGTTTCATTAAGTCAACAAGTATTTCGGGCTGCAGCTGGGTGCTGGGCCCTGGGGTAGCAGTGGGACTACAAAGAAGAAAATCCCAGAATACAGGGGACACTGGACACATAACTGCGGGATAGCGAGGTCGCGCTGGCGCGGGGCGAGGTTGGAGGCAGCCGAGGAGCCCCCGCAAGGGCCGCGTCCGCCGCCGCCTCGCCCTTCCCCCACCCCGACAGCCGCGAGTTTGCCCGCGACGTCCCCATGGCAACCAGCGGCGGCGCGGCGCGCTGGGAGGGAGAGCCCCAACAGCCTAGAGGGCCGCGCGGCTGGAGGGCCTAGGCGGCGGGAGCTCGGCGGCGGGTGGCGGGCCCCCTTGGGGCGGGCCTGGCCGGGCGGGAGGTGACCTACGCGGTCCTGCGCCCCGGGCCTCAGACCTCTCGGGCAAGCGCGGCGCGGTGCGGTGCAGCGCAGGTAATGGCTCTGAGCTTCCCCGGCCCTTCCTCGCCCTTGAACCTCACCCTCTCCCTTCAGCCGGGCTGGCGCGGGATATCCAGCGGGACAGGGGGGCCCCGAAAAGGGCGGCTGCTCTGCAGGAGGCTGGGCTTGAACTGAGCGCGGGTCCCATCGGGGCGCGTGGCGGGGAAACAGAGGCTGGGAGGGGAGGCCCGCCCTTGGAAATGCAGAGCAGAGCTGCGCCCTAGGTTAGAAGGCCTGGGCTCTAGTCGTGTGGCCTTGGGCAAGTCACTTAACTTGTCTGTGCCTCAGTTTCCCTGACGTTTAAGTGAGGGATTTGAGAACCTACAAAACCATTTATTCGTCTGCTCGTTCTGGTCAAGTTTTTTTTTCACCATCCCTGCTCGTCTCCAGTCTGCCCCGCACACAATTCCTGGGTCTCGCTTAAACTCTTCGATTTGGAAGTGTTGTGAGTCTGAATCTTCCTCCTCTTTCTACTCCCTTGAATCCTTTTTAATTAACTTTTATTCAGTGATTCAGAGGAGTTTTCAATACTTTCTCCAATTATCGTCATAGAATATTTTTTAGCTAAAATTTTGTTACCGTGAAAAACTTTTTTAAAAATTTTAACTTTAGGCAAGTACTAACGTCCCTAAAATTAGCCGGGTGTGGTGGCGTGCGCCTTTAATTCCAGCTATTCAGGAGGCTGAGGCAGGAGAATTGCTTGAACCCAGGAGGAGGTTGCAGTGAGCAAAGATTACGCCACTGCACTCCAGCCTGGGCGACAGAGCGAGACACGTTCTCAAAAAACAAACAAACAAAAAACTCCACAAAACAAATTCAAGTTTCTATATTTTTTAGGACCAAGAGCTACTACTATACAGAAAAACTCATACTAAGTGGTTTTTGCAGTAGGAACATTTTTATGTTTTATAGGTTAATGAATATAAACATTTTAGGAATTTGTGTCATTTTCCTCCAACAGGTTAAAAATCAAGAAATATAAACCAGATGTAGCAGTTTCTTGACATGGAGAACCAAGCCCATAATACAATGGGGTAAGTGCTGGGAAATTTCTGTTTAAATAAGTGCATACTTAACTATGCCAAAAACTTCCTGAGAACACATGAATTTTGGAATTTACTGTTAATAGAAGGATATGCCAATTGTTTTCGGTGAGGCGGATGAGAGGAAATACCAAGTGACTGTAATCAAGGATTATAATGTGAGTCTTTCTGATTTTGACACTACAGATCTGCACTCAAAAATCAGTTTTCCAACTTTTAGTGACTGTCTGATGTCTAAGGGTGATGGATACCAAGGCAGGCCTTATGTGCTCTTATATTACCACAATGCAGCCTCTTCGCCAGCTTGTTCCTTTTTTTGCTGCATTGAGTATCTCAAGTTTCCCTCTATTCTTGTCCATTAAGGCTGAACTCAACACTTAAACATAGCCTCAGAATAGATCCAACTCCATAAAAACATCAACAAGAAGTAAATATTTTACCAAAAGTTTCACGAAGAGATGAGGAATAAAATTTGTATAGCATTTGTCATTGTAGAAAATCAAATTCCTGTTTACAAATATCTGTCCTAACTGTTTACCTGCTACCAGCATCACAGTTTTCTTTTCCTGTTATTTCACTAGTCAACTGACCACTGGCTGAACATAGAGTTTGGGAGATGAGAGGATGAAGAGGTAGTTGTATAGTGCCTCATCTTGACTGTGACTGACTTTGGCACTAACCACAACCACTTCAGGTGTCTCACTTTCAGAGATTCTGCCCAGACCATGACTTTGATGTCAGGCTGAAGGAAAGCTGCAAAGTTTGGACAATAATCATTCCTATCACTTTTTAGCTCCTACTGCATACTCCTTCTTACAACAGCCCAGTCAGGTATTACTCTTATTTTACAACTAAGAAAAGTAAGTATATTACAGTCTAAGCTCTTATAACAAACAGACTCCAAAAACAGTGGCTTAAATAAGATTAAAGATTATTTCTGTTTCATATTGTTGTCTTGGGTGCTGTGCTCGCCCGAGATATGCAGACCAGGATTGGTTTAGCAACTCTGGCATCTTCACTAATAATTTCCATCTCTAGGACCAAAGTGGTTGTTTCAGCTCCCACCATCGTAAGTGTGCTCTGCCATCATGACTGTGCTCCTTCCAGAGGGAAGGAGAAGGGCAAGTGGAGAGTAAGACCTTTCCTTTTAGGAGTATGATATGGAAATGGCAGGTCTCACTTCTGTTCATTTTCCATTGGCCAGAACTTAATCCCAGAGTAACAACTAGCAGCAAGAAAGGCTGGGAAATATGGTCTCTAACCAGGCAGCCATAACTTAGAAGTTCTAGAACAAAGGAAGAAGAATGGATATTGGTGAGCAACTAGCAACCTCTACCACACTGACACTCAGAAAGGTAGAAAGACAAAGCAGGAGCTCATCCTAGAATATATACCAGGTTAGTAGGGAAGGTAGGATTTGGATTCAGATATGCCTGGCTCCAATCTCTGTGTTCCTTCGTACGTTGGAAATGGATGGCAATGAGATGCAGGGAGCAGTCTGCCTGGTATCCATAGCAGAGCCAGGTTAGGATTCTGGGTTAAGTATATGTTGGGTCCCTGGTATGATGATGGCTCTAAGAGCTAAGATGCAGATTGATGGTCTTGAGCCTAAGGTTGGCTACCAGATATCACTTCATGCCTGCAAATCCAAGGCCATGGAGTCATTTAAGAAACAGACCTTGTTCTTAAAGAATTTAGAATTGGCCGGGCACGGTGGCTCAAGCCTGTAATCCCAGCACTTTGGGAGGCCGAGGCGGGTGGATCACGAGGTCAAGAGATCGAGACCATCTTGGTCAACATGGTGAAACCCTGTCTCTACTAAAAATACAAAAAAAAAAAATTAGCTGGGCATGGTGGCGCGTGCTTGTAATCCCAGCTACTCAGGAGGCTGAGGCAGGAGAATTGCCTGAACCCAGGAGGCGGAGGTGACGGTGAGCCGAGATCGCGCCATTGCACTCCAGCCTGGGTAACAAGAGCGAAACTCCGTCTCAAAAAAAAAAAAAAAAAGAGAACTTAGAATTTAGTAAGGAACAGTAGAACTTGTTTGGGTACGATGTAATTACAAACCCCAAGTTAATGAGAGTTACTAGAGGTTTTCCTTAGGTACTATTCCACTCATCACAGTAGACATGGGGCCAGACACATGGTCTCCAAAGCATGGAGACCCCATGTTGGCATTGCCTCAGTCCCACATGCTGTTGAGAAGTATGTATAAATGTAGATCATGAATACAATAAAACTTCATCATCAGGAACTTGTTGTGTAGCTTATCAAACCATGCCACCTACATATACAGTAATGTTTTGTGGAGCAGCCTACCTTCAACAGATACCTATTTAGAGTCTCCCACGAGCCCCTTACTGGTCTAGGCACCAGGAGGGTAGCAGTGAACAAAATAGGCAGCTGTCTCTCAAGGGCCTATACCTTAGTGGAGAAGATAGATAATAAACATATACATTTGTATCATACAGTGATATGAAGAAAAATAAAACAGGCTAAGGATAAGAAAAATAGAGTGTGAATGGAGTGGTCAAACAAAGATGCTTTGGTAAGGCAACATTCAAGCAGAGATTATATCTGGGGGAAAAGATTACACAGAGCAGGAGCAGAAAGTGCCAAGACTTACGGTGGGAGCTTTCCCACAGAACATTTTTAGTGTTGAGTGAATCGATATTCTTGGCTATCATGGTTATAACAGGGTTTGATTTCAATTTATCCATGATTTTTCCCAATTATAGGTGTTTGTATTTGTGCCATAATAATCTAAACTCCTTGTAACTGAAAATCAATTTATATGTTTGTTCTATTGTTGTTAGAGTGTGTTCCAGAACATAAATATAGAATGAATAAGGGATCCCTTTTATTGGCCTTCTTAAGAAAACCTCTAGCTTTTGCTTTTTGTTTTCTTATTCATGAATTTTTACTTAATAGTCTGCCCTTTTATGGTTTATTTTATCTTGTTCTCATGAGTTGAAAATTTGCTTCAGTTATTGTCATGATTTCTTTAAATAATAAAATCATGTGAGGCTGAAGTCCTCCTGAGTACAGCTTGCTGCCTGCCATAGGGTTAGTGTTCTCACCATCATTTTCTAAACAGTCTGTCATTTCAAATTTGATATCTTCTTTGACTCAAGAGATATTTAGAAAATGTAATTTCAAGGGGCATTAAGTTATCTTTTTGTTATTACTTTCTAATCCTTCTACTACCATAATCATAAGATATGGACTATATGATTTTGACTCTGTCGATTTCACTAAGATTGTTCTTGTAGTCTGTTGAAGGATCAACTTTTATTAATGCCCTTTGGGTATTTGAAAACACACGTACATTCTCTTTTGGTTGAGTAAAAAGGCTAAAAAAGTTATATAATCAAACATTTTCATTGTTGTTATGTTTAAATTGTGTTTTTCAAGTACAGTTACATTAATTTATATTTATTTGATCTGCCAAATTCTAAGGAGGATCTTCACCATGACTGTAGTTTGTCCAATCCTTCTTGTATTACTAACAATTTTTGGTTTACATATTTCGGTTTGCTGTTGCACAATGTATCAAGGTTTATGGATAGATTTTCTCAGTATATTATATGATTTAACATTATAAAATATAGCACAAGTGTAATGTTTTCTGATTTAATTCTACCTTGCCTGATATTAATATTACCATCCCTGCTTTCTTTCATTAATATCTTTGTTCATCACCTTGTTTTCAGCCTTTTTAATGTCATATCAAGTTTGTCTTCACATATACATAGTATATGGTTAGATTAACAAATAGAGACCGGGCATGGTGGCTCACACCAATCCCAGCACTTTGAGAGGCCAAGGTGGGAGGATCACTTGAGGTGGGCAGATCACCTGAGGTCGGGAGTTCAAGACCAGCCTGACGAACATGGAGAAACCCCGTCTATACTAAAAATACAAATTAGCTGGGTGTGGCGGCACATGCCTGTAATCCCAGCTACTCAGGAGGCTGAAACAGGAGAATCCCTTGAACCCGGGGGACAGAGGTTGTGGAGAGCCAAGATGGCACCATTATGCTCCAGCCTGGGCAACAAGAATGAAACTCCATCTCAAAAACAAACAAACAAAAAAGATTCCTCAATTGAAGACTCTTTTCCATTACAAAAAGGATTTTATAATAAATAGTATATCATTTTTGACCCTTTCTGCTTTTCCAGTGTTTGCTAGGAGGATCTAGTTATCTTTATCTTCTCTTTCCCTTGGAGGTTCAACATCCAATTTTATAAATTATTGATTTATATTTTTTATAAACATTTTAAATTTGTATTTCTATTTTGGCAACCCACGTATTAACTAACTTTGACTACTCTCAGCCTCAGTAAGACTTGATCTTTAGTAATGCCTTTGCTTCCCCATTTCCTTATCTTATTTCCAAGCTTCTGTTGAAATAATCTGGATTTCTAAATCCTGATTGCTATTAATTTTCTTTTATTTCTTTTACTTTAAAAATTCTTTTTAAACAACTGTAAGTTTGATTTCATTGCTTATGACTGTCACTTGTATAGAAAACCTTCCCTGTTCTTGATTTTTAAATTGGATACATTTTTATATTTGGCTGAAGTTCTTAGTTCATCATTTTATAAAAATGAACATGGGTGATATACTTCTTTATTTTTTACGTGTCCAAAATGGCTTACGTTTACTCTCACACAAGAACTCCATAACATTAATCTTATCTTGAAGCACTGAGTATTGCAGATGGAAAGTCCAGTGCTACTTTTATTCTCTCTCTCATTCAGATTCTTTTATTTTTTTAATATCTGGAGGCTTATAGTATTGTCTCTCTATTCTTGAAGTTTATAAATACACTAAGGTAGCTTACTAGGTAGTAATCCTTTTTTTAAGAATTCTATATAGCATTTGGTAAGCACATTTATGCTAAAGATCTCTTTAGCCTGGTGAAAAATTCTATTCCTTTGATTAATAATTCTCCACTATCTTGTTTCATTCTTATCTCCTAGAGTTAA